TTGGGAAGCAGTACATTATTAAATATAACATGGTGATCACAGTCTTGTACATCTGACTCCCAACACAGACTCACTGTCATGGAGAATAAGTTACTTTGTATCTTACCTGGGATATTATAAGGTTTATTCCAGTTACAGGTAGGTTTGGGTAGCAGTACATTATTAAATATAACATGGTGATCACAGTCTTGTCCATCTGACTCCCAGCACAGACTCTGTGTCATGGAGAATAAGTACATGTGTTGTGCTGGTAAATCATCAATCATATACCTAAAATAATGTATAAAAGGAAAAACAAATAATAATAATAAATTAAATATGAAAGAGCCTGTGTTGCTCACCTGCATTTTCAACAATGGCCACTTTTTAGTAAAAATCATCATTAAAGGGGAATAACTCTATTAAGAGTTAACTGACAATTTCAGTCATGTTTACATTTTTGTAGATCTTATCCTGCTAATAATTTTTCCTTTTTAAAGTTTCTATTTATATATGATGGACTCGAATGGTACTTGTTCTTGGTATACATATGCTAAGAATATTTCACCAAACCCAGACCTTTAATATAAAGTAAATAATTGTAGGGACTTGAATGAAGTAAACCCTTTAAAGACCTTGATTAAAAGTGAATTTAAAAAAATATATAAATATGTTTTTGAAAATAGAATAAATAGTTATGATGAAAATACTAAATTGTTACTTTAGAAAAATTTAAAACTTAGCTTGGATAGAGAATTTTATTTAGCTTCCAATAACTTTTCTATAAGAAAATGCTTCACGAAGTTGAGAATAAGTGACCATAATTTAGAAATAGAAAAGGGTAGCTTTTATAAAATTCGTAGAAAGGATAGAATATGTAAACTGTGGCACTTGTTGGAGGATGAAAAACACTTCCTCCTTGAATGCAAAAAATTAAGAAAAATTAACAGATTTGAAAATTGTTTACCTTCTCATAATTTTATATCTCTTGCCCAAGAACAAAAAGTAAAAGAAATGCTTAACCCCTCTTTCATGGAACATGTTAAAATATTGGCTCCTTAATAAAATAGTCATTAGAACTGAGGGCAGAAGTCTTATATTTTTTTTCCATGTGATCATTTCTTATAGAATTTTTATTTCTTTGCTATATTAAGTTTGTTTTTTGTCACAAACTAATTATGTTTGTATGACAATTAAGATATTATTATTGTTTTAAAGATAAAAGGCAAAAAATGCATAAAAATGTAAAAAAAATATCATGCAAGGGCAACAACTCAAAAAAGAATCGACTGAATATTTCGGCCATTATGGCTTATTTGTAGATCTTGTCTTGCTGATTTTTTGCACTATTAAAAGTTTCTATCTATCTATTACAGGTTCAAGATAATAAGCAAAAATGGGGGAAATCATCATTAAAGGGCAATAACTTCAATAATTAGTTGACTAATGATTTCCGTTATGGTGACTTATTTGAAGATCTTGTCTTGCTGATCATTTTTTCATTTTAAAGTTTCTATCATCTATTATAGTTTTTAAGATAAAAGGCAAAAACGCCCAAAAAAAATTGTCATTGAAGGGCAATAACTTTAATAATTAGTCGACAGATTTCGGCTATGTTGACTTATTTGTGGATCCCATCGTGCTGATCATTTTTGCTTTAAAGATTCTATCTATCTATTATAGTTTTTAAGATATTAGGCAATAATGCAAAAAATTGGTAAAAATCATCACTGAAGGACAATAACTCTAATAAGGAGTCGTCTGACGATTTTGATCATGTTAACTTATAGTAGATTTTGTCTTGCTGATCTTTTTTGCTATTTAAAGTCTCTGTCTCTATTATAATTTTTTGAGATAATAGGGAAAAAAATCTTAAAATGGTAAAATTTTTCATTTAAGGGCAATAACTCCTATAAGAAGTCATCTGACAGTTTTGACTTAAATAGACAATATGAAGAGCTCATCATTCTAAACATATTTGCTTCTGTCAGAATTTCTCTATTTATAGTAGTTTTCAAAATAATAGGCAAAACTTGCATTTTACCCCTATGTTCTATTTTTAGCCATGTCTGCCATCTTGGTTGACAGGCGAGGTCATCGGACACATTTATAAAACCAGATACCCTAAAAATGATTGTGGTCAAGTTTGGTTAAATTTTCTTCAGCAGTTTCAGAGGAGAAGATTTTTGTAAAATTTAACGGACAACGACAACGGACGACAGAAGGCATTTGATGAGAAAAGCTCACATGGCCTTTTGGCCAGGTGAGCTAAAAAAAAAACAATAGAAACAATCATTCTTAATAATGATAAAAAAAAAATAAATGTGGATAGTGTCCACATGTGGACACAGATGATGCCCCCGCTTGCATATCATATAGTTATAAAGGGACATAACTGAAGAACAGTAAAAGTGACGCTACCCAAATTTGAACTTGATCTGAGTTTTGTGTGTAAGTCTCATAACATTTGGTTGAGGCTAACTTAAGTAGAGAACAGAAACTAAAAATTCAGCAATTTTTCTATTTATAAAGGGGCATAACTCAATAATGGTTAAAGTGACACTACCCAAATTCAACTTGATCTGTGTTTTATCAGATGAAGTCAAAATTAAACATTGCATTGTTTAAAGCATTGATTGTAGTTGATTCAACTATAATCATGGACAAAGGAAGATAACTCCAATTTTAAAAATAACTTGATATTTAGAAGAAAATAAAAAATTTGCAATTTTTTCCATTTATAAAGGGGCATAACTCTAGAACGATTAAAGTGACGCCACCAAAATTCAAACTTGATCTGTGTTTTGTGGTAATAAGCATTGTGTATAAGTTTCATAACATTTGGTTGAGGCGAACTTAAGTTAGAGAACAGAAACTAAAAAGTTTGCAATTTTTCCATTTATAAAGGGGCATAACTCTAGAACGGTTAAAGTGACGCCACCAAAATTCAAATTGGATCTGTGTTTTGTGGTAATAAGCCTTGTGTATAAGTTTCATAACATTTAGTTGAGGCAAACTTAAGTTAGAGGACGGAAACTAAAAATTTTGCAATTTTTCCATTTATAAAGGGGCATAACTCTAGAACGGTTAAAGTGACGCCACCAAAATTCAAACTTGATCTGTGTTTTGTGGTAATAAGCCTTGTGTGTAAGTTTTATAACATTTGGTTGAGGCAAACTTAAGTTCGAGAACGGAAACTAAAAATTTAGCAATTTTTCCATTTATAAAGGGGCATAACTCTAGAACGGTAAAAGTGACGCCACCAAAATTCAAACTTGATCTGTGTTTTGTGGTAATAAGCATTGTGTATAAGTTTCATAACATTTGGTTGAGGCAAACTCAAGTTAGAGAACGGAAACCAATTTTGGGACGTACGGACGTACGTACGTACGTACGTACGTACAGACGGACAAGGGTAAAACTTAATGCCCCCACCGCTACGGCGGGGGCATAAAAACAAGTATTATTGGAAGTAAACAAAGTATGGTATCGATTTACTGCAAATAGACTAGTGATAATTAATACCAATTTCATACTATTCTAATATGATATCTTCACTAAACTATAAAAATCTCATACTTTCTGACATAAGAAAACAATAAAAGAAATCAAGTTTCCTACCAAACTTTTTAAATTGGAGCTGGCAGGCAATTACTTTTTTTTATTTTTTATTTCATTGAACTTTTAAAAATGTGAAATGTGAAGTAAACTAGATGTGGCTGTATAGGAATATATATCATGCTGATGCAAATTCAGGGTGAGAATCAATTAGATATCAAACTAAAAGAAGATGATAGTCTAGATACTTTCACTGCCAATGGAAATAGACAAACGTGGTAGGATTGGGAATCTTCCCTGCTTAAAAAGGGTTCACAAGTGTGTTGACAGAATGGCATTCTTATGAAAGGTCCTCAAATTTTACATTCCCATGTATCTATTCATTTAATCTCCTCTCTTTAAGAATGGATCCTACTCTTAACCATTTAAGGTTAGAAAGCAATTTCTTACAAAATAATTCATTTGTTTTACACCCCTAATTCCTTGAGGTTAAAAACGAGTATGAAATAATTCTCAACCAATGTTTATGATATTTGATAAATTTTAGTTGTAAGAATTTTTCTGAAAAAAATGCAGGATTTTGATAGTCAATCACCATTTGAATCCATCATAAACATTTTGAAAGATTTTTTACAAAAACTCTCAGTATATCTAGGCATTGATACATTTCGTTTTATCTAAATGTTTGGAGCATTTGTTATTTTCATATTATTTTGCTAGTATTGAAAGAATTACCTGACAGTAACAACTCCATACAAATCAAACTGTTCCCATACACCCCACTCATAATCATCTAAAGTCACTTCAAACTCTAACTTCTCCACTCCAAACTTTAAGATGTAGTTACATGTATCTACTGTCAGGTAACTGTGGAATGACCGACTGATAAAGTCTACATCCCAACAACACTGTATACCCATACAGGTAGAATCAAGGTAACAGGTAAGGTAGGCAGGAAAGTCAGGTAACTCTATCTTACTGTCAGGACAATCTGAAAATAAACAGGTAGAATCCTGGTAACAGGTAAGGTAGTCAGGTAACTTTATCTTACTATCAGGACATACTGAAAATAAACAGATACAATCCTGGTAACAGGTTGGTAATCAGGTAAAGTCAGGTAGCTTTATCTTACTGTCAGGATAAACTGAAAATAAACGGATACAATCCTGGTAACAGGTAAGGTAATCAGGTAAGTCAGGTAATTTTATCTTACTGTCAGGACAAACTGAAAATAAACAGATAAATTCCTGGTAACAGGTAAGGTAATCAGGTAAGTCAGGCAACTCTATCTTACTGACAGGACAATCTGAAAATAAACAGGAAGAATCCAGGTAATAGGTAAGGTTATTAGGTAAGTCAGGTAACTTTATCGTACTGTCAGGACAATCTGAAAATAAACAGGTAGAATCCATGTAACAGGTAAAGTAATCAGGTAAGTCAGGTAGTTATATCTTACTGTTAGGTCAATCTGAAAATAAACAAGTAAAATCAAGGTAACAAGGTGAATATTCCATGCAGTCATAGTGTAATATTGTGTACTTTTCATATATCTAGGGCTACAATAGTATGCATACTATGATACCTGAATTCAGCTATTTTGCAAGGTATCATTAATTTATCAATGGATTATTTTATAAGATTTACCAGAAGTCCATCCATGGTAGGAATTGACAAACACTGACTCTGAGTCTGTATAATCACATTTATCATTGTATAAAAACTTTGACAGTCCCAGGTCAAACATCAGCTGAGATATTTCATCTGTTGTCAGTCGTCCTTTGAAACCAGTCTGGTTAAACCAATTGGATAAGGACCAGTCTGCAATAATGAATTGAGAACAAAACGTAATGTAATGTTAACCTGCAAAAGTGATAAATCTCTATTTTCCAAAGTATTCACTCACAATTTTTGTGGATTGAGGGAAAATTGTATTTTCGTGAATATTTGATGTTTTATGTTAAAAAAAAATTGCCAAAGTCTGCATACAAGCTTCTAGAAAATTTGTATTTCATTGAACATTTAAATACGTGGTTCACATACACCCACATAAATTAGTTCCATGAATCCACAGTAGTTTTCACTTTGCCATTTAAGATACTATACATTTTTAAACAATTCCACTACATGTGTTAACAAATGTATGAAAGTAGGTTTTATATGTTTTAGAGTTTAGTGTGACGTCCATTTTCACTGAACTAGCACACAATTTTATTTAGGGGCCAGCTGAGGACCACCTCCAGGTGCAGGATTTTCTCGCTGCATTGAAGACCCATTGGTGGCCTTCGGCTGTTGTCTGCTCTTTGGTCGGGTTGTTGTCTCTTTGACATATTCCCCATTTCCATTTTCAATTTTATTTACTTTACCAAGAGCCTAATCTGTATCATCAGTGGTACAGTGGTAATTTTGTAAGGCTTATCATAATCTACTGCCAATAAATGCTACTAAATCAAGTCCATTTATTTATTTGGTCTTACCTAGATAATTTTGCTAGTAGTGTACTTACTTGGATCAAGGAAACCTTTCTGCCAACTACACTGTATTTTTGGCAGCTTTGTATTGGAGAAGATATTGGCCTGTATCAGACAAGGTCCTTCATCATTAAAACAAACTTTTATACTCAGATCCATAAAGTAAACTCTTTCTCCAGCCATATCACTGATTATATAGCTGTAACACACAAAAAGATAAAATAAACTTTTATGCATAGGTCCATATAGTAAACTCTCTCTCCAGTTATATCACTGATCTTATAGCTGTAACACATAAAAAGATAAAACAGACTTTTATACTGAGATCCATATACCGGTAGTAAACTCTTTCTCCAGTCATATCACTGATCTTATAGCTATAACACATAAAAAAGATAAAACAAACTTTAATACTAAAATCCATACACCGCTACATTGACAACAACACTTAAGTAAACTGCATCTTTTATTGTCAACATGTTTCGCTGATTATATCGGCGTCATCAGGACAAAGTATACAACATTAGAACCCCTGAAGTACAAAAAAACGGTATCTTGTAGGATTTACGTTCTTTGAATCTTACTTCTTTTTTGTTTAATTTCCTGTAGGTTCTAAATAGTACTTAAAGTCTATCTTGGCTTTTTTGTGTCATCTCCATTTAACGTAAATCCTTCCCACCACCATTACCAGTTCAACCAACATTGCCAAGAAATTTTGTGACAGTAAACCACTTTACGGCATTCCCGACGCGATTGGAAGTAGTACCTCTGGCCAAAGGGAAGCTAGTCGAAGTGGTAGGGGTGTGCCCTAAAAGTGTTGTCCAAATTAGGAAGAAACTTTATACAAACTGTACAGTGACTGACATTGTACTTACATTCATGTTACACATATTTTTTTATTCAAAAACACATTTTATTTATACACTTACCATTAGAATAGTTTACAACCATTTTTAAGATAAAGGCAATTAGAACAATTATAGATTAACTCTAAATTTAGTAACTTTATTTGCACTGTACTATGTTTGATTCATTTTCTGTTCAACATTTCATAATGATATAGAGTATCCTATAGCAACGTCAACAATGGACAATTATGACGTCACATACAAGATGCCGTTTTTTTGTACTTCAGGGGTTCTAATTTTGAATACTTTGTCCTGATGACGCCGATCTAATCGGCGAAACATGTCGACAATAAAAGATGCAGTTTACTTAAGTGTTGTTGTCAATGTAGCGGTATTTGATTTTTTTATCTGACAACCCTGCATACCATCTGGTATCCACTTAAGGGAACTCTACCAGCACAAAACATAGGAGGCGTTGGTTCAGCAGCTCTTTATTTAAAATGCATACAGTAAACTCTCCAAAGCAACATCCCTGATCTTATAGCCGTAACAGAAAATGATTTGCTAAGCTGGACATAAATTATATCTTGACCATAGCAAATTAAATAGAAATTTACAGTATTTATATGTTTATATGTACCGATTATCAGGTTGTCTGCATATTGATATTGTAAAATATCAGCTGTGAGTCACAATATGAAGCTTCTTGTCGAGTGAGCGCAGTGAACGAGTTCAAAAAGGCTTCATATAATTTATTTTACATGATAGAAACAAGTGTTTTCTAGCAAACCTGAAGATGACTTAATAAGTTCGAGTCAAACTTATCAACGTCTGATCATTCATTATGACGTTGGTGATATGTATAGGTCAAAGTTATTAAGGTCGGGTCAACGTATTTGACGTCACAAAGCCGTGATATGCAATTTTATTAAAAGCTGAGCAGAGTGATACAGACAGTGGAACAACCGATAAATATTAATATCAATATATTTGAAGTGGACAATCATACAGTACACTGAAATTGATATTTTGTAAAAAGCCATTACCTTTTTTGGTCATGTAGTTGCATGTAGTGCTGTTACTGACTTTTAATTTTTTTTAAAGCCAAGATTAAAAGCTGATCTTTTAAAACACATAATCTAAAATTTCAATAATCATTACTATCATAAGCAAAGGAATAGATGTTAACTTACTCTATTTCTAAAACCCCTCCAATATGAAATTGTTTCTGCAGATTAATGTCTGTCTCATACAGAGAAAATTCAAATTTATAATTCTCAATACCAAGACTGAATGTTTGGTTACATGGCTCTACAGTGAGGAAGAAATGTATGTTTCTGCTGATCAGCCCTACATGTGCACAACAGGAAACAGATGTACAGGAAGAGTCAAGGTGACATACTACATCATCAGCCAAGTCAGGTAACACAGCACTTGGGCAAGCTGAAAAAGACATGTATAAAACAATCAATTCAGGTACAGGTAGAATCAAGTTGACATACTACATCATCAGGCAAGTCAGGTAATACAGACTTGGGTAAGCTGAAAAATACATGAAAACAATTAACCTAGGAACAGGTAGAATCAAGTTGATATACTACATCATCAGGCAAGTCAGGAAGTACAGCACTTGGGCAAGCTGAAAAATACAGGTATAAAACAATTAACCTAGGTACAGGTAGAATCAAGATGGCATACTACATTATCAGGCAAGTCAGGTAAAATACAGCACATGGGCAAGGTGAAAAATACAGGTATAAAACAATTAACTCAGGTACAGGTAGAATCAAGGTGATATACTACATCATCAGGCAAGTCAGGTAATAAAGACTTAGGCAAGCTGAAAAAAATATGTACAAAACAATCTTTTTATGTTGTAATGTTACACTGCTGTCTCATGTTAGGGTGAAGGTTGGCACGTTAAAACGTTTAAACCCGCTGCATTTTTATGCATCTATCCTAAGCCAGGAGCCTGTTGATCAGTAGTTGTTGTTTGTTGGTGTGGTTCATAAGTGTTTCTCGTTTTTTATATAGATTAGACCGTTGGTTTTCCTGTTTGAATTGTTTTACACTAGTCATGTTGGGGCCCTTTATAGCTTGCTGTTCGATGTGAGCCAAGGCTCTGTGTTGAAGGCCTACTTTGACCTATAATTGTTTACTTTTTATACATTGTGAATTGGATGGAGAGTTGTCCCATTGGCACTCATACCACATCTTCTTATTTAAATATAAAACAATTATTAAACCTAGGTACAGGAAGAATCAAGGTGGCATACTACATTATCAGGCAAGTTAGGTAATACAGCACTTGGGCAAGGTAAAAAATACAGGTATAAAACAATTAACTTTGGTACAGGTAGAATCAAGGTGATATACTACATCATCAGGTAAGTTAGGTAATACAGCACTTTGGCAAGGTGAAAAATACAGGTATAATGCAATAAATTGGCGTACAGGTAAAATCAAGGTGACATACAACATCTTTGGGCTAGCTAGGTAATACAGGTATAAAACCATGAACTTATGAAACAGGTAAAATCAAGAGTCATACTACATCATTTGGCATTTAAGACATCTTAAATCCATCTACACATCAGTTACCTGTTGTATGCAACTATTTTTCAGCTTGTTTCTGTGGTGAGTTACCTCACTTTAAGGGCATATGATAGTTTTGATCCCACGGTGGTTTGTTTACGAAAATATGCATACCAGCTATTTTTCACCTTGTCACTACAAATATGTAATAAAAAATATACCTTCATGTGCTACATCTAGAGATAAATGGGGTCGAAATTTTAGACATTTACTCAAAATTTCGGTTTCTTGGACATTTCTCTCCTTGGGACAGACATACTTAACTTTTTTTGTTTTAAAATATAAACACATGTGGATTTTTTTTTTAAGTTTTGGAATATCTTCTTTACAAAAGTATGCTCTTACTTTGTGTAACAATTCTTTGGAAATGGTTCATTTTTATTTAATGTCTAGTTATCTAATTTAAAAAAATTCATCTGTGATTCCTGCATAAAAATTGGAACAAATAATCTTCATATGGTATCAAGTCAAATGTAATTCATACAAGCATTCTGAGAGTATTGCATGGCAATACATAGTCCCCTACCGGTTAAATATTCATTGTACTGAAACAGAATGCTAACTTGATCTATAACTTGTCATGGTGTAAACTATATAACAAATATCAAGTCAATATCTTCAAGCATGACGAAAAAAAGTGTGGAAAACTAATTATTTAAGTTAAATTTATAAGTCCAAGGACCATAACTCTGCACAAAATCATCAATCTGGAACAAAATTTAAACTTCAAGCACAAAGAAAAAAAGTGTGGAAAACTGATTTGCCGGACTGACAGATGGACAGACAGACGGACAGACAGAGTGCAAACCCCATATTCCACTTCCACTTTGTCGGTAGGGGACTAAAAAGAGGGGTCCATGTACTTGTTTTCACGCTGATGATTGGAATCATTTGAAAAAAATATTTTTTTCTGATATGTCACAATTTGACATCGCATAAAAATAACATTTTTCGTTAGTAATGTCATTACCTCCCTTGCAACTGTATTGTATGCCCTTAACTGTTGCTATAGCATGTTTACTGTATTTTTTATCTTTCTTAAGCGCTGTATAACTGTATGACTTAATGATATTGTATGTAGTCTGGATTCTACCTGAGCATCAGTTAACTGTTTTATATTTGTATTTTAATATTTTAATGAGTGAATAGGAAAGACCTTAAAATGTAAGTTTTCATACCTGAATTCCAGCCATTACTTTGTGCATTACTGAATACTATATCTGTTTCAGGATTACAGCTTGGTTCTTGTAGGTATTCAGCTATACCCAGATCTTCTAGAAGCTTTGATGCCATTAAATCAGAGAGTTGTGATAAATTTGGCAATAAATCATGCTCTGTTAGCCAGGAATTCAATTTAAAATCTGAAAAGAAACCACACACAAATTAATTATAATCTATTTTTTTTTTAAACTTTGAAAATCAAATTTACATTCAAAATAATAGTTTCTTACCCCTGAGTTTTCTTTCTACAAGATTGGAAGGTAAAAAAATAATATGAAATTTGTTCTATTCATATTATATTTAAAGCCATAAATGGCCTTAGCCAAAAATGGCACACAGTTTTGGAATTTTTGTTATATTAATAATAACAATAATAAATAAGTATACTAGATGACCTTTGATTCCCTGAAAAATGCATGACCTAATCACTAAAATGATCCTAAATGTAAGTTACAGTGATTCTTCAAAGATATGACATTTACTTTTTCAGTCAAGTAAATATAGGGCAGAAAAAGTACATAACACTGTAAACATATAAAATACAAGAATATAACAGATCTGAATTTGAAACAGTTGTCCATTTTAGCAATTTGGTTAATTGTCCAGATAATGAGTACCATAAGAAAATATTTTGAATTAAATAATGAAAAGATTTTTTTGGTTATTCAAAATCCATTGCTGCTGACCTTCAGACTAATGTACAGACCATATCCTGAAAATTTACTGGTGTGTGTAAATGATGTCAAGGTCATATGACATATGTCACATACATATACACTTCTTAAACCAAATCAACATAACAAACCTTACCTGTTTTATATTCTAATTGAGAAAAAGATCAAATCTAAATCTACAACCAGTTTGGAATATAATGGAGATGATTTCAAGGTCATATGGCAGATGGAAGACAGACATAAACTCCTTAAAAGGACTAAAAAAAGTGGGAAAATACAAAGAAGGCGATTACTATTAGTTAAAGAAAAACTAACAACAAAATGGCAAAAAGTTGAAAAACAGAAAGACAAACACAGTAAACTAAAGATTGAGCAACGCAGTCATTAGCTCCAGAAGGGTAAGCAGTTTCTGCAATACTACAGTGGGACCTGTCATAATCAACTAAATATAGCAAATTATACTTCTACATACTTGGTACGACAAATCCTCCTGTCCAATCACATGGCTGTTTAGATATTTTATAATCATCAAATATTACATAGTTATATATACAATCTCCATTACTCTCCATACAAAAGTTTATTGTTAAACTGAAAGATAGCTTCTCCTCAGCTTCCAAATCTTCTATGGAATAACTGAAATTTAAGAAAATAATCAACTTGGTAGTACATTTGTAATAAAAGTAGTAACATGAGACCAACCTGAGCAACTTAGACTAAACACTTGCCTTTTTTATAAGCAGCCCTAAATTAAGCTAAAATAGAACTTATCATGTGCAAGAAATATAGATTCCACCACTGCATCATGTGTGTTACGATATTTCTCCACTCGAGACAATTAAATTTTTAAATTTAAAACGCGAGGCTGGCCGACCTTTTTAAATATTCAAAATTTAACTGTTCAAAGTAGAGAAATATCGTAATACATGAGATATAGGGTGGAATCTGTTTCTCTGATGATTTTAAGACGATATCTTAACTAGTTTATCCTTCCTCTTCAAAGATTTGCAGAAAGTTCTGTTCGTTATATATGATGTCATCAGCCATGGTCGCCTTTTTTCATGACGTCACAATAGGAAATTCAGAAGAAATCAAGAAAATTTGACGTCATAATTGAAATTTCAACAAATCATTTGACAAGAACCAAGTTTTCTCTAGAGATGAGAAATATTTTTCTCACACCGATCGAGACATGCGAAAATAGCATGAAAATTCGAGAAAAATTGGTTAATATGATTTCAGTTGCACAAAATCTCTAACGATTTTGTGTCAATCTGTGTCAAGCTTAAAAATATACAAATGCCCCAAAATAAGACAAAACAAATATGACTGTGACAATAAATATTTTGCAGTATTTTACAAAACTTTATTCATTTGGATTTAATACCAATTTTAACTGCATAACAATAGGAATAACAGCACTGATTTCTAAAAAAAAATGTTGCCAACATCTGGGATTTGAGGCCAGCAACTAACTCTTCCCACACAGTATTAATATTCTTCAACTTATTATCAACAATATCCTCCTGTTTAAAAATCTGTATGAGGACCAACCATTTTTTATCATATCATAAAAATGACATATCTATTTTTTCCCATACCTCAATCTTATCATGCTACCTAGAGACATCTTCTTCTCAGTGTTAAAGCTGTAATCAGACAAAGATTCATTGATGACAAGGTTCTCCAGTCCAATACTAAGTTTGAGGTTACAGATGTCAATCAGAACATGGAATTCTACAGACATATCCAACAGTGGTATGTATAAACAACACTGGATCCCTGTACAAAAGTCTGGTAACTGACATGCCATGTTGGATGGTAATGTTGGCAATGATAAGTCTGCATCACAGGCTGAAAATAAAACAGAGATATCATAGACTACATTCATGAACAACACTGGATCTCTGAACAGTAGACTGGTAAAAGACATGCCTTGTTGGGAGGTAAACAGAAAAATTAAGGTCAATTAATTGTGCTATCAAAAAGAGGTCATGGTCTTCTGACCAATCTGCAAGATTGACTAATACAATGATCTTATAACCCTAATATATCACATCTAGTATCTATGTAACTTAGTACTGACCACTGACCCATAATTTTGAGCTTGAAATCATGTGAATACTATTAGAAAAAAACATGTTCACCTTTCAATGATTCTATTTAATGAAACAGGAAAGTGTTTCATCTATAATATCTTATATAGCAATTGAGAAACTCACCCTAATCAGGAAAAACTTAACATTGGTTTTAGTAAGCTGAATAATAATGAAAGTTAGATCTGACAAACAATATATGCTAAATAGAAATTAAGCCATCTCTTTAACAAAATATGAATTGTCCAGCTCTTTTACATTATTAAATAGTCAGCTGTTTTTTTACAAAAAGTCTATGCTTTTGTTACTTATCACTTTTAGATTAGTACTCATTTTACCACCTTCATTTCCTTTGTTGCCAGCTAGACAATCTGTTTAAATGTAGAAAATTACATCCAATATTCTATCCATTTATAATAGTTTCAGTAACAAAAAAAATCAAGGTATCATTGGCATATGGTAGGCAACGCCTTCAGGCATTATTGGGCATGCGCCAGGTGATGCCACAAGGCTCATTGTGGACAAAAGGGTTAATGTAAGAACTTACACTCAGTATTCCATCCATTAGTACCACCTTGATAGGCAGACACCTGACATTGAGGATTCAGTAGCAAACCAGTTATACCTAATCAGTCTTAATATAAGTACTTACATCCAACATTCCATCCATTAGCCTTAGTTTGATAGGCAGACACCTGACATTGAGGATTCAGCAGATAACCAGCTATACCCAATTCTTCCATCAACCTATCAACATCATAGGATTGTAGCTGTTGTCCCAGATCTATCTTGTTACTATCTACCCATTCAGCAAAGGAAAATCCTGTCAAATATAAACAAAGTCATATTCTCAGCCTATCTGTGTCTCAGCCTATCTGTGAGTACCATCAGACCATTTTCTATTTTTTAAAGTTCAAAGGGTAATAATGTAAGGCAACTAAAAATCTAATAGCAAATTACACAATTCAGTAAAATCTTCCTTTAATAACTGGACCTACATGCAGATTTCAAAGGATTCAAAATTCTGTCCTAAATTCAATACAGAGATATATTTCAGAAAAGGTACACCTTTACTATGCCATGCCGGTAAATAATATAAAACTGCGCCTATTTTCCTAGTAATATCTTCTCATCTTAAGTACCAAAATTTACTTTAAATTCAACTGAAAATCATGCAAAGTTTTTTAAATTACAGTTCAAAATATCAACTATCAATAGCAAACTTTCCCATTGGCCTAATTATAAACAAAATATATTTTACTTTAAAAAATAATCATAGAAGCTTTTATTATTTATATTTTATAGTTTGCAAGTAAATTACCCAATATACATGCAATAACCCTTTCATTGTATAGCAAAGCTTCAAACACCTTTTAAAAACATTTCGAGTCACTAATGACATCACTTATTTGAAGCTTTATTATCACTAGTAAAATATGATATATCATTGTAAGCTAACTTTTGGTTACAGTCTGAATGAAATATGTTGTTGCTATGCAATAACAATATATATTATGCTTCAAAACTCCTACAAACCATAAAGAATAGCTTCCTATTAGAGAGCTTATATTTTCATTTTAACAAGAATGAACACAATTGTGACAATAAGATATCTGATCTGCTTAACTGATCATGACTGAATTTTTTTAAGTATTCACTGAACCATGAAAATGAAGTCAAGGACAATGAACATATGACAGACAGAAACTTCATAATATAATGCCTCTTTATACTAGGTATGAGGCATCCAGGTCTTCTATCTATTGAGCTTTATAAAAAATAGTTTATGCCATTGTTGCCAAGGATAAGCATCGTTATGTCTCCCATTGGCAAGTGTGATAAAAATTATCCTGCTTGTTTGGTAGAGGTTAGGCACAACCATTTATTTGCACGCACTGTTTGTAATCTCACCTGGATTTCCTTGACTGAAATCACAGAAAGGTATTGGAAGTTTATTATTTTCAAGTATTATCATCTCCAAAGCACAAGGACCATTAGCTTCATAACAAATACTGATGGTCAGACTGACAATAAACATCCTCTCATTGTAGAATTCTTCAATCTTGTAACTGAAAGAAAAGAAGAATTTATTGTAAAACGAAATGTTTTGGATTCATAACTTATATTGATATTCAGATCAATAAAAAAATCCTCTCATTGTTGTTACTGAATTTGATGCTCCAAGGACACTGAATGACTCATCTGGCAAGAATATGCCATAGTTACTTATAAATCAGGGATAAAAAAAATGTATTAACAAAATCTTCCAACCCCAAAATCATCCTAGAATTCCTTCCTATCCATTCGCTAAAAATCAACTGACTCTTCCCAAAGAAGTCATCAATACTTAATTGCTGACATCCACTTCATTTGAACTTTGTTGGATATTTGTCTCATTGGCAATCATACCACATCTCCTTATTTTCATATCAAAATATAATAATAAAAAATGATCTATTTGCTTGTTTATCAATTTTGATGTCCACTTTTTGCATATCTTTTACATTTATTTGTTCCAGGTAAAGTTGGAAAAATCATCACCAAATGGCTAAAAAGTCAGCCAGGAATCAAGAGAAAGTTTCATCATACTGGTATTTCTATATATCTTATAATGCTGTCATCAAAATATTAACAGCAATGACATGTTGTACAGGCCTCAATTTGTTTGGTTATCAATTTTCTGGGTTTCTGTTAATAACAGTTTTCATGATATAGGGCAAAAAATGTGTAAAAAACCATCATTTAACTTAAAGAGCAATAACTACTTTAAAGAGTTCATATTAAAATGGTTTCAGACATATTTGCATTTTTGTAAATCTTGTATAGCTGATCATTTTTTCTGTAAAAGTCCATATACACAATTTCCAAAGTTAAAGGCAAAATAGATAAAATTGTGTCAAATATTCTGCAAATTGGTGAAATTTTGAAATGTATTGGATTTCCTGGTAATTTTTAATCCAAAATCATCCCTTTTCCTTCATTATATCAACCTCAAATCCAACCATACTGAAGAAAACATTTGTATTCACAATAATAAATTTACCTCACTCTAAAAAATCCCATCATAGAGAAAGTTTGTATTTCACCAAGGTCAATATCCAGCATGGTTGTAGTATGTTTAAAGTTCTCTACACCAACAGTAAAGGTGTTGTGACAGGCATCCAGCAGTACATAGGCATTGACAGATAATCCTAGTTTATCTACCTGTATACAACAATCTATACCTGTACAGGTATCAGACAGGTAACAGGAGATCCCAGCAGGTAAAGATACAGGTATATCTACAGAACTGTTACATTCTAAAATAGAAATTAATCATTTTAGCACTGCAGTAACTGCACACTTCAAGTTGTTAATTACTGCTACAGTACAGGTTAAGAGGTTGGTTCCTGTTACTTTCAAGAAAGGTGAGGTGCAATTATATGAACAAATATGGCATGATTTCATTTGTACAGTAAAAAGGATGATTGCATGACAAACTTACTATCTAGATTCCATCCCATGTTGTTTGCAGGTTTATATGGAGGCTGATTTCTGTCACACTGTGGATTCTTCATGTAGTCATCAATGCCAAGTTTATAGAGAAGCTGTGTAACAAAAACTTCCTGTAATGTACCAGTGTCTGTTAAACTGTTTTCTGTCATCCAAATACCCAAGGAAAAGTCTACAAAAATTATTTACAAAGTAACAATCAACAGGAGAACAGAAATATTTAAAGCTGATTCTCATAATTCTCTTTTAAAATACTTAAACCTTTCCCCAGAATCAATTGAATTTTACCGGTGCATATATATGTGCATCAATAATGTGTAAGAATAAGGCATATGTGATATCTTTAAACTACATAGCATTTTTCTTGTTGATACTTGCTCTTAGCTTATTACTGTGACCAATATCTTCCTTCTTTACATATAAATGTTCATTAACTGATATCCTTGGCTTCAGTTATCTGCATAAAGCAGACATTACTGAAATTTATAAGAGTAAAGTCTAAAAAAATCTAAATCTCAACCTGTTTTTCTTGATACATTTTATGAAACCATTAACTCAGCTTGAAATTATCTTACCGGACTGCAAAAATCCCATATTCCAGTCACATAAAGGTTTGGATAATTTAGCGTTGGTCAGGATCTGTAAATCAACTATACAGTTGCTTGGGTCCTTCTCCATACAAACATGGAAACTCAAGTCTACCATAAACATCTTCTCATTCTTCAAGTCAAAAACGCTATACCTAACAACAATAATGCATAAAACATTAGAACAAAGATCCATTTCCACAGGAAAAGGCAATAATCAAAATCATTGTAAATTATTATGTCTATAAAGATTGCACATGCTTTAATATAATGCTTATGGGAAAACAAGACGAAGATATTTGACTGTTCCTGAAAAAACTCACATTTTCTAACACACCACTGTCAGAATGCTGACCAATTATGGAGTCATTCTGTACCATAGTTTTTGAGAAAATTGTGATAAATAATTGTGTTCATTCAACATGTTGAAAAACTGAGTATTGGCAAACAGGAAGCAGGTGTCACATTGATTCAATCAAAGCGCGAAAGCACTGTAAAGGCAGTTAATTACAGGTTGTGTGTATTTTTAGTCCAGTTATATCATTATCTTGCATAGTACATTGTACTTATCAGAGGTGGCTTTCAGTATTTAAGATTTAGAGTTCTCTAATGATATTGAACAAGTTTTATGAATGTCATATTCTGAGCACTATATGAAGGCGATTGTTCTCACTTGTTTATGAACTAGTGCATTATGTCCAGTTTGTACCTTTTTTATCTATGTTTATAGTCAAATACTGTTTAAAATAGTTTGGCATTTTCTTTTTAGTAATAAGTAAATGTTATCAACTGTATTTTATTCAACTTTGCAAATGTGGTTTGTTACTGATAAGTACAATGTATGGATGATAGTTGTTTCATTGGCAATCATAACACATCTCCTTATTTATATAATGACCTATATTCAACGACCTCAGGTACAAAAAAATTGTATGTAACTAAACTATGATGGGAAACCTTTGACTTCTTTCTTTTATATAAACTTTTGATTTGGTACCATAGAACTATGTAGAATAAATGTACATTGCAACATGTCAACTCTTTCAATGACAATACTTTTTTTAGAAACTATAACTCCAAGCAAAATTATATTTCCAAGTATAAAGTAATTTATGAATGAAACAAGAGTGCACAGGCTGAAATGTCTCGCCTTCTTTACTAATCATTGCTATTATGTTGATAGTCCTAAATATAAAGCTTTATTACAACTGTCACATAAACTTAACATTAACCAAGTAAACTAAACATTGACCAATGAACCAAGAAAATGAGGTCAAGGTCAGATGAACCATGCTAGGCAGGCATGTACAGCTAACAATTCTTCCATACAACAAATATAGTTGACCTATTGCTTATAGTTTAAGAAAAACAGACCAAAACACAAAAACTTGAAACTGAGCAATGAACCTTGAAAATGAGGTCAAGGTAAAAAAAAACCTGCGTGACTGACAAATAGATCATAAAATATTTCCATACACCAAATATAGTTGAACTATTGCATATAGCTATATATATAGTATTAGAAAAAAAGACCAAAACTCAAAAACTTAACTTTGACCACTGAACAATGAAAATGAGGTCAAGGTCAGATGACACCTGCCAGCTAGACATGTACACCTTACAATCATTCCATTCACCAAATATAGTAGACCTATTGCATACAGTATAAGAAAAACAGACCAAAACACAAAAACTTAACTATAACCACTGAACCATGAAAATGAGGTCAAGGTCAGATGACACCTGCCAGTTGGACATGTACATCTTACAGTCCTTCCATACAGCGAATATACTAGACCTATTGCTTATAGTATCTGAGATATGGACTTGACCACCAAAACTTAACCTTGTTCACTGATCCATGAAATGAGGTCGAGGTCAAGTGAAAACTGTCTGACGGGAATGAGGACCTTGTAAGGTATGCACATACCAAATATAGTTATCATATTACTTATAATAAGAGAGAATTTAACATTACAAAAAATCTTAACTTTTTTTTCAAGTAGTCACTGAACCATGCAAATGAGGTCAAGGACATTGGACATGTGACTGACGGAAACTTCGTAACATGAGGCATCCATATACAAAGTATGAAGCATCCAGACCTTCCACCTTCTAAAATATAAAGCTTTTAAGAAGTGAGCTAACGCCGCCGCGGGATCACTATCCCTATGTCAAGCTTTCTGCGACAAAAGTCGCAGGCTCGACAAAAAGGAGTTCTTGATTAAGAAATAACTGATTCGCTGAGCCCAGCTGAATACACCCGCAGAGGTCAAACCCTGAACAGTTGGGGCAAAAATGGACACAACATTCAAGCTTGATACAGGTCTGAATTTGGATTGTAATTAAATATTTGACATATTATAGTTTCTGAATAAATGTAGTCAAAGAACTTGAAATCGGTTATATGAATTGAATTTATATTCAATTTAAGATTTCTTGCTGTTGTGCAATACTTAATAAATCTGTTGCCAGACTATAAACAAATAAAGTTCAATTTCTTCTCAATGTCATATTTGAAATTTATGAAAATCAATAGGGAGATTACATCAATAGCTATAAATAATTCACCAAAGTTTCATGCGAACTGCTTAAAGCATTTTTGAGTTGTTGTCCAAAAACTGGAAAATCCCCCCTTTTTTAATGAATAAAACCCCATAACTCAGAAATGTAAAATCTAAAATTTATAAAATTCTAAAGGGAGCTTAAGGATTGATAATTTAGTCTTAGATGCAAGATTTTTTTATCAGTTGTTAGTGGCTTTGAACTAGCTGTCAGTAAATGCGAGTACTCTCAGATCTGTACTTAGTGTCTTTTTGTTGTTTGGATGTACAACTACACCGGCCATGTCCACTTGTATTTGTATTTATCCATCTGATGAGTTAAGCCTCTTTCAACTGATTTTTATAGTTCGTTCTTATATTGTACTGTTACACCACTGTCCCAGGTTAGGTGGTGGGTTGGGATCCCGCTAACATGTTTAACCCCGCCACATTCTGTCTGTACATGTATGTGCCTGTCCCAAGTCAGGAGCCTGTAATTCAGTGGTTGTTGTTTGTTTATGTGTTGCTTATTTGTTATTCGTTCATTTTTTGTACATAAAATTAGGCCGTTAGTTTTCTTGTTTGAATTGTTTTACATTGTCATATCGGGGCCTTTTATATTTCACTGTGCGGTATGTGCTTTGCTCATTGTTGAAGGCCGTACTGTGACCTATAGCTGTTAATTTCTGTGTCATTTGGTCTCTTGTGGAGAGTTGTCTCATTGGCAATCATACCACATCTTCTTTTTTTATATTAACATCAACAGATATAAACAATTCACCAAAGTCAAGGTGAGACAACAAAACTTAGTTGTAAGATCTCTGAAATTTTTTACACGGTACAAGTTTTTCTAATTGTTGGAGATTGTACAGTGACAGTAACACCTGTAACTGCTTCATCTATTTCTTATGCACTTTGGTTAGATCAACTCACTGAATATCATACCACATCTCCTTATTTTTATATGCATTACAATTTACATGTGCATGTTATTGTAAATAATATTTATATATATATATATCAGAACAAACTTCATTGCGTCACTTTTATTTATGCATCCTTTGGCACAATACAAGTTTTAAAATTACACAATAAAACAACTAAATGTTATTTCAGATGAAAGTTTTGTTTCAGTTCCATTCATAGGATTTATTAGAATTTTGTATGTTTTGCCAAGTCCAATAATTAGCTCTATGTGCACGTGTTAATTGGAGACTTTTCTATCCCGTATAGGAGTTTTGGAACTAATTCTGTTTCTTTTTTTGAAAAAAGTGAGCAAACAAATCTTGCACATTTAAACCTTTGTCTGCCATCACACTGTCACCTGGATCACATAATTGAACTATTCTACATCTTTCAACTATTTCGCAGTCACTGGTACAACCAACATATGCATTAGAGACATAGTTGACTAAACCACCAGGTGACAAACATACAAGTATTTTCAGTGTTTCTGTTTTTATATGATGAAAAGGTTGCCTGAGCTCTAGGAACTTTAGGTTTTATCAAGGGATATTCTGTGCTGTCAATAAAAATCCAAGTTGTAGGAAACTTTAATTTGAAGTTGGATGGCGAAAAATACCTGACTAAACCACTAAATGGCCAAGTGTTAGCCTCACGCCACTGTTTAGACATAAAAACAATCCATGTTTACACAATATTCTTAACACTACAATGTAGTTTCAATCTAGAATCTAGACAGTTCAAAGTTGGTTGTATAATGCCTCAATTTCATCAAAGTCATAAAAAAACTGATTTTCAAATGACACCCTATCAATTTGAAAATATATGTATCTCAAACAATGTGCTGCTGGACCAAGTGTGGTCAAAACAAATAAAAATTTAGTATACAACTCTAAACCGGTATAAAAATGCATGGCTGTGTCACGTGTCTTCATTTCAAAATTCTCTGCTGAAAATATAGGCATTGATGGTGTTTGCGTAATTCCATCTGTGAAGCTCACCATTAGCTCGGCAGTTGGTGGTGGACAGTCATAAATCCTGTCTGCAGTATGAATGACTTCTTCATGAAAACCAACTTTACAATCGAAACTTTCCTCTAGATTTCTACTACAATATTCATCAAGTTTAGTTCTTTTGTTTTCACAGGAAACTGCCCTGATTTTTCTTTTTGCGGACGATTCAGTCTCTTGCTTGGTCCAGGAAAATAGGCTGGGAATGGCAGTAGACTTAAGTCTCTGTATGGTGGGTTTGCGCCCTGAAAAAGGTTATAAAACATTAGTTTTTTGATAATTAAATGAACTTCCATTAGCAATGCATACTTTGTACTACCTGGCAAAATATTAACTAGATTTATTCATTACAATCTGGATAAAACTATGTTAGCCTGATTCAATCATTGTTGTCAATGTACATCAATATGTATGTTATGTAAATCCAAAGGACAAACAATGAGAGTTGTATGCAACAAACATACATTGTTTGTACCTAAATAACTATAATATAGATGAGAGCATGTCATTGTTTTGTTTTGTTTTGTTAACATTGTCATTGATATTTTTCAAGAAAGTCTATGAGGCATAGCTTATGCATTCCTGTCATTACTACATTAGCATAATTACTGCTAAAATAATTCTCAGTATGATATACCT